GTGTGTGTGTGTGTGTCTGCGTGTCTAGGTATCACAGGCGGGAAACAAACCCTATTTCCCCCTGCACCACAAAAAGGACATTCTTCTTGTAAGAAACAGGTCTATTTCTGAAGGGCAATGGAAATGGGGCCTGTTCAGTTCTGTTCTGTGTTCTGTGTGTTACTCCCAGTCCAGTACAGCCCAGGCGAGGCAGGACTTGAGGCCTGGCTCAAGGACTCATCTAATGATTTCCTATGCCCTGAGTTTGGATTTCTCCCTGCTCCTGGATTAGATTCGCTTATGATTTAGAACCTAGGATTTCCAGAACACTTCAGTAAACCTTGGGTGTTGGGAGCTGGGAACCTTAGAGACCCGTAAATGAATGTCGGTTGTAACCGAGGCATCAATTTTTCAACCTGTAGCCGACTGACATTTGAATTCCCAGGGCTACCCACTCAGCCCCGCAAATTGGAGTCCTCTTACCAACTGCATGCTTCCTGTCATGATTGTTCAAGTTGTTCAAATTGTTTACTTCTACTTTGGAATCTTCGATTAAGGTGCCAGGGCTGGTGACCCCTGGGATATTGGGCAGATGGCAGGGCGGGGTCTGAGCCATAGGAGAATTGCGACGATCCAACAGAAACTTGCGATCATAAATGATTCGGGTTCCTGCAAAACAGGGTTCAAGAGTCCGAAACAAATTAAGGGGCTATCAACATATAATAAAATCTTTAAAAAAGGGGGGGGGCGTCTGCCTTCGGCTCAGGTCATGATCCCAGGGTCCTGGGATCGAGCCCCGCATCGGGCTCCCTGCTCCGCGGGAAGCCTGCTTCTCCCTCTCCCACTCCCCCTGCTGTGTTCCCTCTCTCGCTGTGTCTCTCTCTCTGTCCAATAAAGAAATAAAATCTTAAAAAATATATATATAATATTACCGGGAATTTATTTTAAATTCCATCTAAACCTAACCCTTGAGGGCTCACAGTTCAAGCAAGAGGGATAAGCTTTCTGTTCCCTGCCTGGGACCAGGCCCCTATGCTGGAGGAGCGCCTTCTCCTCCTCTTCCACACTCATCTTTAAGGCCCAGCCCCAACATCACTTCCTTTATGGAAAACCTTAAAAAAAAAAAAACAACATTCCTTCCCCCATCTTACCCCATACATATCACCCACTAGAGGGCACCTGTTTACCGATCTGCCTCTCCAAAGCCTGTGACTTCCTTATGCCAGGGCTGTGTCCTAGTTCTATGTGACCTTCGTTCTACCATTTAGAAAGTTTTAAATGAAACAATAAACAAGTGAAAAAATCACCAATAGATAGATCGCTGCCTTTAAGTGGAGGGCTTTCCAAAGGCACTGAGACCAATGTTCTTCCCAGACAGAGCTGTGGTAGAAGCTGGACCCTTCTCTATTTTACAAAACAATCTGCATCCCAGTAAGTGCTCCCAGAGTGTTTTACAACGATCCTTCTGAAGACTGCATTTGACCTGACGAATAGTTAAGAAAATCTACTGCTGCTATTTCTTCTGTCATGGTCAGCCCAAGGTACAAATGGCTATAAACAAGATCTAAAACTAAGCAACAATTTAGAGATGCTTGACGTTGGCTTAGTGTAGCGGACGCCTGGGGCTCTGCTCCAGACCTTGGGAGTACAGCTGGCTCAGTGATGGAGGACATGGCCACCATTCAGTGATGTCTGCTGAAGGAGGGGAGAAAGGGGGAATGGCCACCCAGCACCCCTGCCTACAGAACAAAGAGATGTGGTCAGATGGAGGCATCTTGCTCACACTAAGATTAAATCCAGAGAAGGAAAAGGTTCAGGCATGTAAGTTAAAAGCAGTAGTATATGAAAATTAGATTGTGCACAAAGTTACCCATTTAAAGAGGGAGAATCTAAATACTACTACTGCCTGCTGGTCAATGCTTATAGATCCTCAAGTGAAAAAACTCCTGTCATAAGGAGAGTCTGGTTCAGGCAGATTTCCTCGAGTAACATGTGACAGCTACATCCCCGGAAACAGAAAAACAAAACAGCTAACCAATCTACCTGAAATGTGAGGAAGCGGGTGGAAAAAAGCAAGGAACCTACTTCAAGAAGAATGGAAATTCTGGAGTCTTCCCAAAGAAGGAAGGAGATGAACATTTACACTAAAGAGATGATACCGACATTATGCTAAGTAGCTGGAAAATGGATTAAACTCAGTGGTTTTCTCGGGATCCGTATCACAGTAGTACCATGACAGTTTCATGCAAATGCTAGTAAGTCATTTCTTTCCAACTAGATGGAAAAGAAGAGTCAAACTAGTGGTTTCTAGGTGAGAAAATGGCCAAAAGAGACTCTACCCTCCAATTTGCCCCCTGCCCCCCGCATCCTTGCTTTTATAACCAGAATCAAGTGCTAAACATATTCTCCTCTTGGTACTACAAAACCTGTCACAGGAAAGAATGACTCAGTGTCTCAGAATGGAAGCAATGTTCTCAGATGGGCATCCATTAGCACACGTAGGCATCTCAAAACAAAACCTTTAAGGCTTTCAAACCAACTCCAAAGGAGATCAATTTTTTCTTACTACCTAGTTGTGTTACAACTACACTGCATACACAATCATATTTACGATTTATAAGAGGTGAAAATAAAGTATCTGGCTCTCAGCCTCTCCATGATAAAGTACTAAGAAAAATGCCATGCCTATTAGGACAGTATATTTTTGCAGGTATCTGCACCAGAATCCTCTGGAAAGCTTGTTTAAAAACATTCTACCTGAATCAGAATCCCTGGGGCTTTGAACCTATCTTTAAGTTCCTCAGGCCATTCTTCTGTTCATTAAAGTGAGGAACCCAACTTCAGGGCCGACTGGCTGGCTCAGTGGGTGGAGCGTGTGACTCTTGGTCTAGGGGTTGTGATTTCCAGCCCTGCACTGGGTGTAAATATGACTTAAAAATAAAATCTTAAAAAAAAAGAACCTGACTTCAATCTTCTACCAAAAGCCTAGTAACAGTGATCTGAGAATAGATGAAATATGAAAGAAATAGTTAAGAGGACGACGGAAGGGGCTGGGGGGGTCACTCTGACAGATGAAGTGGACACCCAGAAAGTGACTTGATGGAGCTCACCGAGCAAATGAGAGGCAACATCGGAACTGAGCCCCTGGTGTGCGGACTCCCAGCACAGCCTGCTCTGCGCTCTACCTCCGTGCCCGGGACGTCCATGGTGGGACCACGGTGTGGGAAGTGAAAGGAATCGGATGGTAACTGCCACTTACGCACGAACACTGGGGTGAGTGGCAGATAGGCCGCCCCACTGGTCCCCAGAGCGCGACTTCTCCAGAGGCACGCAGCAGGATGGCGGGGCCTTTACTGCCCCCTCGGGAGGGCGACAGACACCAGTAGAGGCGGTTTCTGTTTTTCAGTTTTCTAAGTTTGCCAAGGCCCGGGTACTTATGTATTTTAGAAATTAGGTAATCTGCTTATTTTTGCTTCCAGAACAGAAATACGCAGTTTTAAAGATTACGCGAGTAGGCAGGTCCTATAATCCAAGTTCATTTCAGAATAGCTTTACTAAAGGGGCCTCGCTGGTAGTAAAAGGGGATGCTGGAGAGGATCATCTCTGAAAGACAGCATGGCACAAACCAGGTCAACAGCTCTAATTACTGTTACCTGTCAGCTTTTTCATTTTGAAGGCTAAATGAGACAGGCAAAGGCTGAAAACTTCACTGAGGAAGTCTCCGAGTCCTAGACTGGGCTAGAATTAGCTTCCTATGTTTACTTTTAGAATAACTGAGAGGCAAAGGCCCACAGCTCATTTATGACAGGCCTCACACCATAAACCTAACCTTAGCAGAGCACCTCTGCACGCCTCCCTCCAACCCCTGGAGAACACTTGGAAAAGTTGGAAATCATTCATCCCCAGTAGAAAGGAGACACGGGTCTTATGTCCTGTCTCAAATACAATTTTAGGACAAGGAAAGTAAAAAATCTACCTTCACCCTCTTTGCTTTGAAAAATAAGAACTGTAGTAACAACTTAAAAAGGCATCTGGAAATTATGAGGCATGAGTCATTTTGGACAGCAGAAAACATTTTAACTTTCAAAAAGTGAAAAATGTATATTATTTTGGATGGAAGTTTTTCTTGTACAGATTTAAAACCTTTTACCACCTTAAACGGAAAACAATCTGACCCTTGCTTGATGAACGGGGGTCACCATTCTGAAGATCACTTCATAAACTATGCTGTGGCCTATGAACTCTGGGAGCCTAGGCGCTTTATTTTCCTTCCACTGTACAGAATTCAAATAGCCTGCAAGTGCCGCTTTCCTCATTGTTTCCTCCCTCACTCTTAGGCTTGAGAATGCCCCCTTCTTCCCCAAGTCTCAGTCAGCTCGGGCTGCCACAACAAAATACCACAGCTTAAACAAATCTATTTTCTCAGTTCGTGAGAAGCCCAAGATGGAGATGCCAGCATGGTCTGCTTCCGCTGAGAGCTCTCTTCTGCGTATGCAGACAACCACATTTTCAATGTGTCCTTAGATGGGGCGGGGAAGGAGGGAGGGAGGGGGTAGCAAGCTCCCTAGTGCCTCTTTTTCTAGGGGCGCTAATCCATCATGAGGGCCTCATGACCTCATCTAAACCTAATTACATCCCAAGGTCCCAGCTGCAAAGATCATCACATTGAGGGTTAGAGCTTCAATTTATGAACTTGGGGAAGAGGGGTGGGGGACGCACAATTCACCTATCCTAACCCGATGCTTCTATCCTTGTAGGGACTTTGCAATCAGCGATTCGCTTATTAGAATACTATGTAAAATAAAGAGCAAACGGGCTGGGAGGGGCCCTGATGGCTTTCCAGTGAATAAAAGGAAGGAGCCTTAGTGGATGCACTTTCCATATTTCCTGTATCACCTCCACTTTTGTTCATGGCTAGGTTTCAAAAGAGCGAGGTTTCACTGTCAGATGTTCTTAAACTAACATTCAACTTGCAAGTCAGAACAAGATTATTCTTACTTCTGCAGTATGCCAAGCTTGGAACTCTGGGGATGAGGTGGTGAAAAAGAATGCACAGGATGAAAGCAAGCTTTCTATTTCTAAATTATATATTAGCAATAGCATATGCATTAAAGAACTGTAATTGGACCAACTAGGAAATAAGCAGTACAGAGTCTACCTAAATGTGCGAGGTATAAAGGAAACTTTGAAGAACTTCTACGACTTTGGAGAGGCGATAAAATCCACTTTTTTACAACTTTCCTGAGATGTAATTCACATATAGTTCAAAGTGTGTAATTCAACAGTTTTTAGTAGATTCACAGAATTGTGCAACCATCACCGTGATCAATTTTAGAACACTGTAACCATCCCCCAAAAGATAACCCATACACATTGAGCAGTCCCTCTCCACCCCGGCAGCCCTAGGAAACCACTACTTTCTGTCTCTACAGATTTGCCTATTCTGGACGTTTCATATAAATGGAATCATGCAATATGTGATCTTTTGTGACTGCTTCTTATACTTGCACGTTTTCAAGGTTCATCCATGTTTAGTATTTCTCAGGACTTCATTTCTTTTTATTGTCAAATATTCCATTACACGTATATATCACATTTTATCAAGTAATCAGTTGATGGACATCTGGGTTATTTCCACTCTCAGTAATGCTGCTATAAACATTCATGTA